TAATTGTCAGTAATCACTTTTACTACATGCCCAAAATGGGTTCCTGTTACAATTTCTAGGAATTCGAATGGGGCATTAATACCTCAGATGTTAGAGAGAGATAGATAGATAGAGATATTTACGTTAAAAAGAGACAACAACAGGGCAGGTAGAGAAGCTGTTATTATTCTCAGCAAGTCGCAGTGTTGCCAACTGCACCGTAATTACGGTAAAAACACCGTAATCAGCATAGATCTACCACCTACCGTAGGATTATAATTACGGTAGCAAAATACACCGTAATACCCAATGAAGATCGTACCTAAATATGATTATCTATAAACTAAAATAATTTTAGCGAGTTTGATTGTTTACTTTCTTTACATTACAGTATTTTCCTTTTATTCTACCGACAACACTGTTTTATGCGTCGGGAAATCCCCCAATAGCGTGGTACCAGCTTGGAGATATTATGCGAACGAATTCGGGGGTGCTGTATGTATTTGAATTTCAATGAATACTTAGAGCTTTTTAATTTTCCTAGTTTATTTGTATCATAAACGAGATACGACTAACATTTCATTAATACTTAAAATTACGTAAGAGTTTGTTGTGTTGTGTTGTGTTGTGTGTGATCTGAGTGTTTAAAAATATGGAGAGTGATGGCGACAGCGCTACTGATCGAGAAGATAGCTTAACACGAGTACCGGCTAAGAGAAAGCGTTATAAGCAGAAGTTTCGGGAAGAATGGTTGCTGAATAAAGAATATAGTGACTGGCTAAGAAAGGATAATAGGGACTTATCGAAGGCGGTCTGCAACGTTTGCAATACATCTTTCAGTGCCGAAATAAGTGTAATAAAACGCCACAAAGAAGGAACTAAACACGTGAATAATTTAAAGAGGTGTAGTGCTTCAACGTCCAAAAAACAACAGTCTATAGTAAGCGTTTTTAAATCCATGCCAACTAATGAAAAGCAATTGGTAAAGACTTCAGAAATAAAATTAGCTGCTTTTGTTGCTGAGCATAAGGTATCTTATAATGTCATGAATCACTTAGCAGATTTGTTACCAAAGTTGTTCCCAGATTCTCAGATAGCCAAAGATATTAGATTAAAAAGAACTAAAGTTCAAGCTGTGATAAATAACTGTATTGGGGAAACTGAAAAAGAAAACTTGATCAGTGACTTGAAATCACAAATGTTTTCAATTTTGATAGACGAAAGCACAGATATTGCTGTAGTAAAAACAGTAGCTGTAGTGGTCAGGTATTTTGATCCAATGATTGGTAAAGTTATCACTCGGTTTTGGAATTTGATTCAATTATTTGATGAGAAAACCACCGATCATGTTGCAAATGCCGAAAAACTTTTTAATACTGTTATAGGTTCATTTCAAAAGTATGAGATTCCTACGGAAAACATCATAGGTTTCGGCTCTGATGGATGCAACACAATGATGGGATGTAACAATTCAGTTTCAAGTCGATTTCGTCAACGTTGTCCAGGCATAATTGTGATCAAATGCATTTGCCATTCTCTGCATCTTTGCGCTAGTGACGCATGTAAAGAGCTTCCACTAAATTGTGAAAAAATGGCGCGAAATATTTATAATTATTTTAAATCCAGTAGTAAAAGGCAGAGTGAGTTGAAAGAGTTCCAGTATTTTGCTGAGGCGGATGTGCACAAAATTCTAAGACCAGCCCAGACTAGATGGTTGTCTTTAAATGCAGTAGTGCAAAGGATTCTGGAACAATGGGATGTATTACGTCTTTATTTCAATAGCAAATGGCTGGAAGAATCGGAGTGCCACGATATTCATGCATGCCTGAATGATCCCATAATCAAGGCTTATTACTATTTTTTGGCTTGGATGTTGCCAAAATTTACAACATTAAATAGCTGTTTTCAGAGCGAATCTATTTTAATTACGAAACTACATGGGAAAATGACAGCTTTTTATAAAGAACTGTTACTATTGGTTTTACACAGAAATTATGTAAATTCCGCTCCTATTGAAACTATAGATCCAATGACAGAAATAAATCACAAGGACCTAAAAGACATATATCTAGGTTTAGGTGTCCAGAAAGAACTAGATTCTGTTGAAAATGAAGAAAGAAAGTTAACTCTCAGAAAGATGTGTAAAAATTTTATTATTAGAGCTTGTGTGGGCCTTCGTAAACGATACTGTTTTAATGACAAAATTATGACAGAAATAGCAAAATTTGATCTAGAGAAAGTAATTTCTGATGACAGGGAAGAGTCAGTTTCGTCGTTATTTCCATTACTGCCCAGAATTGCCCCAACTTCAATCCAACATCAACAAGAACTAGATGATGAGTGGCGGAAGTTGCCGTTATACTACAAAGATTTGGATTTAAGTCAACCCCCTGACGTATTTTGGCACCAGGTAAGTTTCCATGTAAACTCGAAGCAACGTGAATTCATATTGGTTTCTATTGTTATAGCAGCCTAATCATTTTTTTTTTCAGGTCGCAGAACTGCGTGACCAACATCGAGAAGGGAATACCTATTTCCAACACTTGCCAAAATTTATGTTGGCCATTTTGTCTCTGCCACACTCGAATGCTGAGTGCGAAAGAGTCTTCAGCAGAGTTAACGATATAAAAACAAAAAAACGGAATAAACTCCTAACGAAATCCATCAAGGGAAATCTCTTATCGCAGCAAGCCATACAGCGTCACGGAAAAAACTGTGTTGATTTTAATCCCACTCACGCTATGATCGCAAAACATAACAATGATATGTATAAAAATATTGAAACAATTATACTGTCCGATTCTGATTAAAAATATGTTTTTTTTTTAACTCTGACCCATAACATGCTACTAAATAAACAAGGTAATTCTACCGTATTTCAAATATATATTACAACATAATTTCGAAAATTCTACCGTATTTTTAGAAGAATTCTACCGTCCGCTAGATTTCAGACTTGGCAACACTGGCAAGTCGGTTCAGTACGCTCTGCTCCTTTGTTTACTGCGCACCGTACCCAATTCAACTTACGTGGCCCTCGTACATACTATCGACTTTTGGCTTGGCTTTTTGGACTGGAATCGACCTGCAAACTTAACTGACCTGGCATTATTTGGACTGGAAGTGATCTGCAAACTGAACTGACCTGGCATTATCTTGGACTACGATTGTGTGTTTTGTGATTTAGAGTTCTGGCGCATTTTGGACTGTTTGGTGTTTAACATGCCGCAACCGTACACACCACAGGAATACGCTAATATGCATTTAATCTATGGAGAATGCCGATGTAATGGTAACGCTGCTAGCAGACTGTATCCAGAAAGATACCCAAATGCTCAAAGATATCCTGATTATCGAGTGTTTATTAATGTGCATCAAGCGTTTTCGGAGGGTCGTATGCCATCCAATAGGAGCAGCGCTGGAAGACCTAGATTGGATCGTGATGAAGAAGTTCTCAAGGAGATAGAAAATGACTCGACTACTTCGGTACGTGCCATAGAAGAAGCTACAGGAATCCCGAAAAGTTCTGCACATCGAATATTAAAACGTCACAAGCTTCACCCATATCACTACAGGCGTGTGCAGACGTTATTACCGCGGGACTATCCGCTACGGGTCACATTTTGCCGTGTGATGCTGCAAAGGCACAGTGAAGATCCCCACTTCCTAGACAAAATTCTATGGTCGGATGAAACAACGTGCAAGAAAGATGGGTATTTAAATCTTCACAATCTACATAGTTGGAGTAATGAAAATCCACACTTGATGAGACAAGACAAATCCCAATATCAATTCAAGGTTAACCTATGGACCGGCATATTAAATGGAAAAGTAATTGGGCCCTTTGAGTTACAAGGAAACTTAGATGGCAATAGTTATTTAAACTCTTTACAAAATGACTTGCAAGAATTGTTAAACGACGTGCCCTTAAGTGATCTTCAAAACATGTGGTTCCAAAATGATGGTTGCCCAGCACATTATGCCCGTCCTGTGCGAGAATATTTAAATCAAGAGTATCCAGGGCGTTGGATCGGGCGACTTGGTCCTATCTTATGGCCACCCTGTTCACCCGATTTGAACCCCCTGGACTTCTTCTATTGGGGTTGTCTTAAAAACAGGGTCTACTCAAAACCCATTGTAACATTGGACGAGCTTCGTCGAAATATCACTCAGGCTGCTGATTACATTAATAGCAGAAGATATGCAAGACAAATAAAACGATCATTTTTAAGGCGATGTCGTGCATGTATTAATGCTGGTGGCAAACAGTTCGAACATTTGCTATAATGTTAATAACTTAATAAATTACACGTGAAACTGTTTGTACCATTTGTTTTGAAATATTAAACATTTTTCAAGAAATAATACTTTTATTACACCCGACCGTCATTTGGCCCCTGTTAAGAAATAATATAGGCCCATATTTTTTTATAACTTGTTTTCCTAGAGTATTATACCATTTTGGAATATTGGTTAGTTGCGTCAATTTTTAAAAAAACTTGCCATACTAGTGTTCATACTTTTTTTTTACACCACGATAAGTTAAATTTGGTTAAAAGTAAAAGTCTTCAAAAAATTTAGGGAATAAAATAAGTTTCATTAATTTTCGTGATAAAACAAGAGTTATTCTGGAGTTTTTAAGAATTGTGGTAGATAGCAGTACTATTCAGGTTGCCTATAAAAAAAAAAGAAAAAAATATTTAAAAATTGTGGTCATGGTAGTGAAAAATATCATAAACGGTCTCAATTTCTGAAGAATTTCATTTTTTTATATAACTTAAAATATAATTGGGATATATTTTTTTTTCTTTTTTTACCCGATTAGTCCGGGGCAGGTCTATCCTCCGGTGTTGGCTTATCGTTGAATTTTGGGACACGTTGTATATATGAAAGTTTGAACTCACAAATATGTCAATACAAAATACAAATAATAATAGAATGCTGAAATTTGAATGAAAGTAAGCTTCTTAGGGGATGTAGATGTGATATTTACATGTAATAATTTATTTGTAGGATTCACCATGAATAAAAAAACAAATTTAGGGAAACGGGAGTTAGAAGATATCATGAACAACCTGTCAGATTTATCCGATCTTGACTCAGATGATGATGCCTATTACCAAACAGCCCCTGTAACCAGCCCGGCAGATTACCAGAATGAGTCTCAAGATGTTATTGTTGAAAGGCGTCTTGAAGAGTTGTTTGGTGTATCTGATAACTTGGAAGAAACTATTGAAAGCCAAGAAATATATTCAGTAGAAGCACTCACAGATATTTTAGAAATAAATAGTCCTAGACCTATTGGTAGTGTGGGTGAGACAACAGGACAATATGATGTTCTCCCAACAGAGGAAAATATTGCAACTTATGAAGAAAGCTTTGTTATGGATTGCAACCAACGAGAAACTGAAATAGAGCAATGCTTAGATGATATCCGTGAAGAACACTCCCACTATACTCCAATATCTACAGATGACTTAAGTGCAAGACCTTCAAGCAGTAATGTTATTGTAACAGAACCGGATCGTCGCTCAAGATCAAGCAGAACTATGAATACAGTAAGACAACCAAGGGAGTGGAAAATTGAAACAGAGATACACAATGTTCCTGAATTTACCAATTCAATTCAACCACAATCAACATATAGTCATAAAACGCAGCCTATCGATGTTTTTCAAAACTTTTTCCCAGAATATTTAGTACAAGTTCTAGTGGAACAAACAAATAGATATGCGGTTCAGAATAAAAGCAATAATTTTACACCAGTACTATCAGAGGAAATGAAAGCTTACCTTGGAATATTAATAATGATAGGGTTAAACCCATTGCCTGATATGGAGCTATATTGGTCTAATGACCCTTTTTACAATAATGCAGAAATTTCAAAAATTATGCCTATCAAAAGATTTAAAAAAATAATTGAAAATTTACACATAAATGACAATGAAAAAGAACCAAATAGGAACTCACCGGAATACGATAAAATGTACAAGTTGAGACCAATGATTCAAGAGCTTAATAAATTGTTCCAGCAGGAAACAGGTAATTCAAGTAAACAATCAATAGATGAATGCATGGTGAAGTTTAAAGGAAGATCATCTTTAAAGCAGTATATGCCAAAGAAGCCAATCAAGCGTGGCTTCAAAATCTGGGCACGTTGTGATTCTGTAACCGGCTATCTGTACCAGTTCGAAATTTATACCGGGAAAGGAGACAGTATGGAAGACGAGGGACTGGGGTACAATGTGGTTAAAAAGCTGTCAGCCGGCCTTCCTGAGAACACTCTGATAGCGTTTGATAACTTTTTCACTAGCTGTAACCTAATGGAAGATTTGTACTAAAATCAAATTTTTGCTGTTGGTACAGTTAGAGTAAATAGAAAAGATCTTCCGGAAATTTTTAAAAAGTCTCAACCAAAACATTTAAGACTTGAAAGGAACCAATTTGCAGCTGTAACTGCTAAACCAATTACAGCAATCAAGTGGCTTGATACAAGGGATGTTAATATTCTTACAACAGCTCACCATCCAACTGACACAGTATTTGTAAAGAGAACTCAGAAAGATGGTACTAAAAAAAAAGTTCTCATCCCCACAGCTATCGCTCAGTATACGCTCACCATGGGAGGCGTCGATCACTTTGATCATTTCAGATCATCATATCCGATCAATAGAAAATGCAGGAAATTTTGGATGAGATTGTTTTTCTTTATGTTTGATGCGGCAATCATAAACAGCTATATAACCTACAACACTGTGCATGTAGCAAGTACTCATTCTCATAGAAATTTTCGATTGCGATTGGCTCGTGAGCTAATATCAAATTACTCTAACAAGGTAAAACGCCAGGTTGTTTTCAAAAACAAAAAGGGCTCCAACTTTGGAGTTCCAGATGCGATACGTTTACTCAATGTCGGCGTCCATCTTCCAGATGAAGGAAATACTTACAAAAGATGCCGATTTTGTAGCACAAAAAAAGAGGAGAGAAGAACAAAAATAGTATGTTCCACGTGCCAAGTTGCACTATGTGCAAAGAAATGTTTTAAATTATTCCACGAGGCTTCACCCCAAGAATAATTATATTTTTAACACGCTTTTAGCTTACTTGTAATTAGCTATATTAATTATTAGAATAAAAATGCGATTGCAATACCGCTTTTTATTTAGCATGCATGATAATATTCATAGGTAAATAAAATAAAAGTTCGTAACGCATAAAAAAAAATTAAAAAATAAATGAAATGAAAAAAGCGAAACCAGGTGAAATACTAGTATATGAATAACAACAAAACTAGGCATATAATAGGCGAAGGGAATTATTTTCCCACTTCGAGACACAGTGCACATACATAATCGGGCAAAGGGATATTATTTCCCACCCAAAAAAAGGGGGTAAAAAACCATCCCCCCTTTTTCAAAATACTTTTTTTAAATTCTGCAGTATCTATTTACACTATTTCCACTGTAACTTACTTTCTAGCTGTAACACAGGCGCGAGCCTTATTAAGGGTTAACGAATACATAGACGATAACTTGCTGACTTTAATAGTTACAATTAGTAACCAAACTGCAGTTCAGAAAACTGGAAAATGTTTAAATTTAACCCTAGGAGAATGCAAGGCTTTTATTGGAAGAACTATGCTTATGGGATGTATTGGCTACCCGCAAATTCGCATGTACTGGAGCTTGAAGTATGCTGTACCAATTATAGTCAAAACTATGGTGCGAGATCGGTATATCCTACTTAGGAATTCTCTAAAATTAGTATTTGATAATGATGTTTCTCCTAAGATGAGGAAAAACGACTTACTAGGGAAAGTTCGTCCATTACTGGATAGAGTTCTTCAGGGATGTCACGCACAGATCCGGGATCAAAAAATTTCCATTGACGAGATGATAATCCCATTTACAGGTACTTGTCCGATGCGTCAATATTGCCCTGGCAAGCCGAATCTCACTGGACTTAAAGCCTTTATTCTTGCCAATCCAAATGGCTTAGTATGTGATATATTAGTATATCAAGGTAAAACACTATAACTGGTAGTGGTGACTTTAATTTAGGTAAAAGCGTAGTTTTAACTTTAACATAAAGCAGATCAAATATAACATCAACTTCGTTACCTTTTCGTTCGTTGCACTACCTCCCATATGTTTATCTCTACTTAGCCTAAAGGTTGACTGAGAGAAAATGACTGAATGAAGGCATAAGTCTGGCATATGTACGATTTTTCTTTTGTGCACAAAAGTTTAGATAAATAAAATAAATAAATCAACTATCTGCCAGTGAAAGTCCCGTCAAAATCGGTCCAGCCATTTCGGAGATTAGCCGGAACAAACAGACAGACAGATTTTTTTAAAAAATTGTATTTTTGTTATATATACCGTATATAGTTTCATATGCGTTTAGTAAAAAGTTGTTATTTTGACATTACAAACAGACACTTCAATTTTATTTATTAGTATAGATTTTTAAATTATTGATCCCCAGAGAAACTGTCTGTCCTTTTGTGAGAATTTTTTATTATACATAATAAAAAACGCTGTAAAATGGCAGATTAAATCAAACACCTTTTTTAGTATTTTTTAATATACAAATTTGGGATAGTCTGCCCCTAAGTCAACCCCTTCAGAAGTGTCTGCCATTTCTTTTTCCTAATTCTTTATCAACTTAGCTGACGGATAGTCATTATTATTATTTGAATCAAACACTTTTTTGACCAATTTTTTTTGCGACTAACCTGTATGCGCAGTTCTAGGTGTACCCAGGTACACCAGGCAGACTTCCCTCTGAACCTTTTTTATCAATAAAACTCATGATGGGGATCATTTCTGCTCAATCTTATCTAGATTATTGTGCGTCAAAAAGCAGATATGGATTCATCGCAGATTTAATTACTCTTTAAAAGGTACCAGCAAATACACAGCACTTTGTAGATAATACAGTTCCTGATACAGACCCATACTTTAAAATACGACTATTTATTGAAAAAATTAAACAGAATTGCTTATAAGTAGGTGAAGAAAACAGATTCAGCATTGATGAAATGACAATACTGTACAAAGATCGTAAAGCTGGAAAAAAGAAACGGTACAGCCCTCAAAAACAAAAGGGGTTTTATGAACCTAGTGAGAGCGAGAGTATCAGGAATCATATATGATTTCTATTTATATTGCGGCAAAGATACTTTTCGTTGCTTAGATATTCACTTTGACAATGATGAAATGTTACTTGGTTGGGGGGGCTAAAGCTGTAATCGCATTATGCAAAAGTATTAAACGCAAGGCTTGCGTAGTATATTTTAATAACTTTTTTAGTTCTCTTGCTCTTGTACAAATGCTGCGCCACAATGATTAGAGGGTGTGAAAAACTACTAATAGATGACAAAACTTTTAAAAAAGAGGAAGAGGTGCGTTCGTTCAGTTGGTATGCAACAAAAATCCAATTGCTGTCGTAAAGTGGTATGACAACAAGTTTGTAACATTAGTGAGTTCATACATCGACTCCTACCCATAAGAGACCACAAATAGATATGATAAGTTTGAGAAGAGTAAAATACCGGTAAATTTACCCCAAATTGTGAAACATTATAATGCTCACATGGGAGGCTTTATACAGAACTGAGATGAAAATCAAGAAGATATTATTTGTCGATTTTTTCCCAAATAAATGATATTTGCAACAATGCATGGCTAATGTATAAAAGAAATATGAAAAGGCTTGAAAAAAAAACCGATGCTAAAAAAATTCAGACTGTCAGCGAAGAACTTATAAACATTGGAAGACCCTCTTTGCCAGTTGAAGTACCATGCATATCTGCGTCCAAAAAGATGGCTGCACCGAAAAGAAACCGGCCCTGCGATGATATCCCTCGTGATAAAGTTAGCCATAAGCAAACCTATAACACTAATGGGCGTTGTCGGTATTGTAGTCAGTCAGTTTAGACTTTGTTTTATCCCAAACAAGCAAAACAGCTTTTATAATTTCCATAATTATTAACTTTTGATAACTTCTTTCATTCCTATTGTTTCTTTTATTTTTCACCCAAAACGATCTATGAGTCAGATATGTATAGTATATTATACTAATGTTTAAAGTGCAGGCTGTGCTTTAGTTTATGGTCGCACGATTTTCGTGATAATTTTAATTTTAATAGGTAGGTAACAGATCATTGAAGTAAATGCTAGAAGGATTTTCTGCGGAAACTTATAGTTTTCGAGAAATTATTTTTTTAAGTTTTATAGGTTAACTACTAGGAATCATATAGAACAGTATTGTTTTGGCTTTTGGCCCTTGACATTTACATAATGACATTCTAAAGCATTAGAAAGAGACAACATAATGGTTGCATCTCCTTTTACCGCGTGTTATTTCAGACCTAAAAATTTTTTTGGCTGTATATGGTAAATCTTTGCTTTAAAAAAAAAGGAAACACTGGCTGTCAATATTATATGATAGAATTGTTCATTCCATTGCCTTTGTGTTCTTGGCGTCGTTGTTTTTTGTGCGTGAGATTTGTTTCGTTATTTGCTCCCAACCTGACCCTTGCATTGTACCTTGTGACTTGTACCTGTTTTGACGATTTTACCCATAGATAATACACTATATACCAGGGATAGATGCGCCACTTACATTTCAGTTTTCGAATGGGTGTACCGTGTACGCTAGATGCCGCTGTATTCCTTAGTACAACGCGGCTTGCGGTAGTTACCACATGGTTACTACTAGATGGCGTATTTTGTCAATGACTATATTGGTAATTATGAACTATGCAGTTTTATTAATAATGTTTCTGTTTATGCATTCTACCAGATAATTATTGGATATCTCCAATGATTATCTTAAATCTTCAAATAGTAATTTTGCAGATAACATTAACACTAATAAAACTTAACCTATTTCACATAAGATTTTATTTTAATAATAATATCAAACACTGAACAGAATTTAAATTATGTATTTATTTTCTTTTATGAATGTTATAATATTTAATAGCTTGAGTGTTGACATTATCATTTTCACAATCACAAATCAGTAGTTAATAATTTTCCATTTAGCAGCCTGTTAACATTGGTGCATAAACTGTGAACAACCACATTTCTTGTTAAATTTAGTAAATAATCATAAAGCCTAAATGATGATATTCACACGCGAGGAACGAATAGTTGCAAAATATTTTCGTTTTCTAAATTATCGTATCAATAATTTTCGTATTTATTAGAAAGAACTGTCAAGTGTCAACCGAGTGTGTCAACCATAACCATAGACCAAAACTGCCATAGATTTAGGTTTTTTTGGCTTTGGATTCTGGGGTTTTGGCTAAATTAACGCCATCTATTCAACGCTGAACAAAACTAGCCTACAAGTTTATGTACCTTGTTCACTAGAGGGCAGAACTTTCAATGCATTTTTATTCTTGTAAATTAGTATGGCAGTTTCATCCCCCTGATTTTACCTGGCATTGTATTTGGACTACGAACCTTACACGAACGACGACCCTTGCTTTCATATACGGACCTTTTTTTATTTGAGACGGCAGACAACAAGCAACAACCCTCAGCCGTCAACTAGTGCCGTTTGTGACGCGCGCGCTTCATCATCAACCGAGACTGAGGCTGTTTATACCGACGGAGTATACGAGCATAGGAGGTCGCACGCGGAAGAATTAATAAAAATGCCGAATTGGACCATGCTTTTCAAAAAGCTACAAACTCGGGAGCAATGTGTGGAGTTTGCAGAAGAACATGGCCTGATCCCTAAAAATAAAATGTGCCGCCATCATCGCATCCCGATGCGAATTTCATATGGGAATTGTAAGAATGTTGGCCAATTTATATGCACTAAAGGCAACTGTCGGGCACGCTCGAAAGTTTCTCGAGCTAAGGGACACGTGGTTCGAAAACGTGAAGTTATCGATGCTGCATGTCTACTTCTTAATGTACGCCTTTGCCCACCGATGGTCATATGACAATGTAATATTTGAGGATCCGGAGAGAGATACGGAAGGCTGCCTCTCAATGGCAACAATAGCCGACTGGTATAGCTACTGTCGTGAGACAGTAGTTATATACCAGATAAATGTACAAAAAAATATGGGTAAAATTGGTGGCCCTGGCAAGGTGGTCCAAATCGATGAAAGCAAATTTGGAAAGGGAAAATATAACAAAGGTATTGATATTTTTTAATGGTCTTTTAAGTTGGTTAAGTTCTTTGATATCATGTTTGACAGCCCGATTCAGAGCAATTCGACTCGGACAGATTAGGTTAGAAGGTTAAGGCGGGAGCCAAGCTCCCGCCTTAGCCTTCGTGTTTACTTTTTTTATAACCACCCAGAAATACTGGCCCTACATAGTAGGAGTCAGTTGACCTAGCTTGGTAGGTAATCAATATATATTGATATACAAAATGTTTAAGGCGAAACCGAGTTCATGGAGACGGATATTATTTATATTTGAATTGTTTTTTAAATAATATTTTTGTGATTTGTTCTAGGACGACACATTGAAGGCCATTGGGTCCTTGGACTTATTGAAGATGGGAGTGAAGACCTTCGGCTAGAAGTTTGCCCGGAGATGTGCGCTCAGCAGAAGTGTTGGTGCCCCTGATCCAGAAGCATGTGATTGAGGGGTCAATTATACATACGGACTGCTGGCGTGCATATGATTGTCTGGGTTCTTATGGATACATCCATGAAAAGGTGAATCACTCGGACCCAGACAATCCTTTTGTTGCTCCAGATGGAACTCATACACAAAGGATTGAGGCACAGTGGCATGTCGTTAAAAAGTATTATAAACATAACATAAATAACCCTAAAGATTTTTCGGATAGTATTGTAGAATATATGTGGAGATGAAGAATACAAAGAAATAAAAAAGATTTATATTTATCACTTATAGAGACCATAAACTTTGTTTATAAATTTAAATAAAGAATTTATTTTTACTCTTTTGTTTTATTTGTGCCTACATAGTTCTCTATGTAATATATTATATATATATATATATATGAGTTCAGGCCAGAACAAAACTGGCAACACATCAGGTTTGGTAAGAATTGTGTCCGTTGAACGTAGATCAGCCCCAGAATCGAACCCCTGTAAGTAAGAAGGTCGAATGTAAAGCGTCAGTCGGGGTAGAGAGAAGATTAGAGCCTCCTCCCCACTTGATTTAAACAAATACCATATTAAATTAATCAATATCAATATTTTATAGGTTAGGATAGATTTTTTAATATATTTCAGAAACTATACGTTTCCGCATCCCCCCCTTTTAGGGGAGGGTTCACCACTACCGCCCAACCCCTCCCCCCCCCCTCCGCATGCGACCGTAAACTAAAGCACGACCATTTTATTTTATATTTTTCCACTTTTACTTACACACAATATAGGAAAATAAATTTAAAAAAAAGTAACTAAATGAAAAAAATCCTGCTAAATTAAGGGTTAAGCAAAGTGTCATTAAGTGATAAGCTTCCGACCGGGCTTCCCTCGACTGCATCACGTTGAGTGGCGTTGGGCTAACTTCCCCAAATCTCTCACTCCACAAATCAGGTTTATATTGTCAAACTATTACGAAAACATAACCTCAAAATGAGATTTTTAAAAGATTCATCAAATGACAATACTCACTTGGGTTCGCGCTAAAAGTATCTATGTTTATTTGAGGAAACCTCTGGCTTTGGTTATTGTTATCATTGTTAGCCTAATCGCGAATCCCTGCACAATAACCTGATAATGTATTATTATCGGAGATAATTGTGTTAAAACACGCAAGAATTAGACAATATTTCTCCTCTATTTCGTCAAATTCTTCAATATCCATGGGATCCAGTAACCGTACATCCATATGATTGATAAATAATCAGAGAATGCCTTGATGACGCGTTCCCTTATGACTTTTAAAACTTCAAAATCGTATTTTTCTGAATCACACAACTAATTACCAATTTTCGTTATAATTGATTTACAATGTCCTCTTGCCGCTATGAGCCTTTTAATTTCTTTTTCACTATCAAATTGATAATAAGTATTAAGTACTACCTATATATTAAACAAAGAGTATAGTAACCCCGCCTAAGGGTATTAGTGTTCTGTGATAGTAACTGTCCTATACAGGAAATATAAAAACCCTATATAGTTTTAGTTTGTGTATTAAACAAACAAGATTAATAATTACAAATATAATTTTTATTAAACTGGCTTTACGCCTCTGGGTTCTAGCCCTTCTGAGCCTGAAGTTACAATAATAATTACAAAGTAAAGTATAAACCATAGATTACTGTATATATACTAGATATAGATGCGCGACTCAAATTTAAATTTCTTTAGTGTCGTGCTTTGCATAAAAATCGGCGCTAACAAAAGAAGGAACTTGATAAAATGGGAACAAATAAACACATCTGCTGGACGCGATCCGGGGTCTTTAGATTTCGGGACCGCCCGATTATTCACCTGAGCTATTATAACCTTGTGCGTTGTGGTGAAATTTACCTTCGTATTCCAATAATATTTTAGCAGTTTTTCATTGTCTGAAAACACAGATAAAATGGCATTTTCTAAAAATAAATAATGTTCAATAAATATTAATAACAATTTAAGCGTAACCAGTGACCGCTACTAACTGCGTAGTGCGCGTGTATTATTGCGTATGAATAGACTTAATATATAAGTGCCCTCTAGTGAGATTAAAATAAGTCTAGCCTAGCGCTTCGGAATGTAGATGGAAGCAAATACAACGTATCTTTTTGTTCGTAAAATAATGTTCTAAGTTGCACCCCCATGATATAAACAGTACTCTACTATTACATATATGCATAAAATGCGAAAGCGGTAGTGATGAGTCAACTCGAGTTGCGCTTAACTCGAGTTGGATCTCCCTAACTCGAGTTAGGGCTGCTATACGTCAACGGATCAAGTGAGCCAGCAAAAGAGTAAGAGCGCAATTCGTTCGTTGTGTGCGCGCGCTTTGTGTTTCAAAGAGTATTTAGGTACAACCAAAACAATTTGTTATTTAGAATTTTATAATTTTGATTAATTATGATTAATATAGTCATGTACGTCACAAACCTATTATTATTATTTTAAACATTTTTTTTTACCCGAAAAGAGTGGTTCAGTTATAAATATACACATATTTTAAATTAACGCAGATTGTAACACTTAACTTACAATAAGTATTTTAATTTTGAAAAAATTTGAATTTATTTAAGAATACTTTGACTATAATAGTTAATATATTAATAGTTTATGTACCTTTATCTTAAAACTATACTAATATTGTTTTTAACTGCTACACAGCTAATTTTGTTGTTCAATACAAGTACTTACTATGGCTAAGATTAAAATCAAATATACATAAGTATGTGATACATACTAAATATACCTTTTTATTTCAATCCTGCATACTAAGCTTGGTAATTATGACTATCCCAACCCGCCAAAGAGCTAGATAGAAAAATTTTTATAAATAATTTAAAATTTAAAATTTTGTACAACCGACTTCAATATAAACTATTTAGTATAACTCAAAAACTATTGATCAGACCTTGATCAAATTTATATGGTACCACATGAGAAGCACCAGCTTTCATATAAAAAAAGAATCATTGAAATCGGTTCACCCAGAAAAAGTTATGAGATAACACACATAAAAGAAAAGAGTCGCATTGAGTACCGTCTCCTTTTTGAAGTCGGTAGAAAAGTAATTTGTAACAAATCATTTACTCTGTTTCGTACTGCTAACTCGAGTTTAGACTCGACTTGCATGAATTTAACTCGAGTTGTAATTTTTTCGAGTTGGCACATCTATAGCAAGCGGTTTTCAACTAGTGATGGTCAACTCGAGTTCATAAATTGTAAAGTTGTACTCGAGTTGCGCTTAACTCGAGTTGGATCTCCCTAACTCAATTTTGGGCTGCTGTCACAAAATAGAGATCTTACGGAAGTGGTTATATCGGAATCGGAGTTTTTAAATTTTGTTTGTCAGAACCGGAACCGAAACCGGAATTGGAGGTGGAGGCAGAAGAGATGTGTTTAGGTCAGGTCTATTGCACTGTATTTTTCTTTTCGTTTTCAAATTTTTTGAATTCTTCGCATTCAGTGGCATGCACAGACTTTAATTGACTTTTTAACGAAGTAGTCGTACCTCCCTTTCGTAAATATATCTTCTCACATAGTTAACATTTTGCCGTATTCTCAGAAACTTCATTGAAATAATTCCAATTGGCACTTGATTTTGGCTTCGTTGTTCAATTCAAATAAATTTGTTACACGTCAAATAAAACACTACTAAAACTAATCAAGAACTTAGATGGGTATAAATGAAGCGCGAATGCACAACATGCCAATTGCCAAATTCGAAACAAAACATCAAGTTAAAGAGTAATCGACCGAATGCACGGTGGGTGGGAGGTTCCCGGGGTGACAAGTATAAAATTGTTTGTACACACTGATCATAGCCGCCGCCACCACTGTGTTTCAACCTCCGACATATAATTTCCGATTAAAATTTACCGGAACCGAAATCGGAATCGAAAGTGCAAAATCAATCGGAAGTTCCGAACTTTCAGACTCGGAATTGAACCTCCGTAACATCTCTATCACAAACTATATACATAATATAGAAACACTCACGCGTCAAACGGACGTCTCTGTTACATTTAGTTTGGACCGGGTACGTACCGGCCTACAAATATTAAAATTTCGAAATAAAAAATCTCAATTTATTGATCTTAATTTATCCTTTCGACCTACGTTAATTATTTTAAAAGCCCGTTTTTTCGTTTTCCCAGGAAAAATCGAAATAGAATTTCCCATTTTCTTATATTTCAAATAATCATATCTCTTTGAAAAATGATTATTGTTTACTCCACCAAGCGTAAAAAACTAGCCCTTAGGCTACTTTAATATGCCCGTGTGCAAATTCTTAAAAATATTCAATAATTAACAAATAAACAATGAAAAAACTTTCGTGGAATTCTCAAGCCAATTATTTGCGCAAGATTTTCATGAAACGGTGAGTTTGTGATATTAAAATCATTAATGATTTTTACTCATTGGTAATCTTTTCCAGGATTAAGTTTTTCACTGCTTTCGACTATCTATTTTGTAAATTAAAATAAAGTCTTATTAATGTCAAATTGTAATGTAAAGTTTTAGTTGATCAATAATCATCATCATCATCATCATTACAGCCTTTCATAAGTCCACTGCTGAACATAGGCCTCCCCCAAGGAATGCCACAAAGCACGGTCCTGAGCCACCTGCATCCATCGACTTCCTGCATGTCTTACCAGGTCGTCACTCCATCTCGTGGGGGGTCGCCCTACACTTCGCCTACCGGTACGAGGCTGCCACTCCAGAACCTTTCTTCCCCATCGGTTGTCGGTTCTTCGAGCTATATGACCGGCCCACTGCCACTTCAGCTTACTAATCCTTTGGGCTATGTCGGTCACTCTGGTTCTACTGCGGATATCCTCATTTCTGAGTTTATCACGCAGAGAAACTCCGAGCATAGCCCTCTCCATAGCTCGCTGAGCGACCTTTAGCTTCCTCATCCGGCCAGCAGTGAAGGACCACGTCTCAGTTCCGTATGTCATCACTGGCAACACGCACTGGGTGTACAGTCTCGTTTTCAAGTTTTGAGGTATGTCTGACGAGATGTGTCGTAGCTTCCCGAACGCTGCCCAGCCGAGTTGAATCCGTCGATTGACCTCTCGGTCGAAGTTGGACTTACCTAGTCGGACTATTTGTCCCAGGTAAACATACTCGTCAACAACTTCGAGCTTAGTGCTCCCAACAACTACCGGCATAGGTGTGATATGGACATTAAACATAATCTTTGTTTTGTCCATGTTCATCTTAAGACCTATCCGTTGGGAGACACTATTGAGGTCATTGAGCATAGTGATTAGGTCCTCCAGCGATTCTGCCATAAGGACTATA